TCAATTGCATACATTGAATTATCTACTATAAATAGCTTCTTGTACGAGTTGTTTTTTATTACGTAGAAAAATGGCTAAAATTTTTATAATCCGGTCCTGAATTCCGCTGCTGGCCCTGATTGGATATTTTCGAAGTTTAACCTGCGCTTCATCCTGAATAAAAAAAACATTTGGGAGTCAAGAACAAGTGAAATTCAATGGCATCTTGAGGTTTACTTATCTCATTGTGGGAAAAGTAACCCAGAGTGACAGTTCTTATTTTAGGATTACTTATAGTCTCGAAACCTTCCCACACAAAATTAGAATTTATTTACGGTTATTTTTTTATTTGGTACATTACGCTTAGGTATGGGCCTATTGTTAAGATAATCAATTCTTTTTTGTTTTAACAAATACTAGTATTTATGAGTATCATTTGCATAGCCAAGTGATTATTTTAGTGCGAAGGCCTGTTTTCAGATAAGCACCCTGTAACTTACAGGTATGTACTTCACTCGCATTGCCTAATGAATAGATAAATTAGTATTGCCTGCTTCATAATCTACTCTATGGAATTCACCAAATCCTTTATTATTTGTACAATCCAAGTTATTAATATTGAGCATTTTTTAATGATCTATGTTTATCGGCTATGAGGCATGTCCCATTTATGAATTATGATATACTTATCATAATCTTTAATCTTCTCTGGGGACTATTAACGACTCCTCAAGTCCCCCCTTTTCACTGCTATTCTTGTCTCTCCCTAAACCTATTTAACAGCCACAAATAGTTCCTGTTCAATTTCCTATACTTGTTCATTCTATTCTGGATGTTAGCTATTTTCTTATATTCTCCATAATCTTACGCTAGGATGCCAAATTTCCTTAGTCTGCAAAAAGCTGTTTTGGACTATTCTAGTTCAGCTAGTTCGGATATTTAGATCCATAGCACTTTGCAGGCGATTTCGTGTTTGATAACCTTTTTTGTATGGATCGGCAGGTATCTCTCCCATAGGCACTACAATATGAGCATAAACTCTTATAGCTTCCTGATCTAGGGCAATCAAACAGTTCTCGAAAATAAGGCAAACTGAGGATAGTATGTGTTTTTATTTGTGTATCGTTCTGATGTTATACTTCTCCAGCAGTTTATTTATCTTTGTCGACACTTGACATATTTACTACATCAACAAAAAAGTAGAGTGATTCATCTTTGCCTGTCCTGCCCAAGTAATCGCTTCCCTGTATTATGTTTATTCGTAGTGAAAAGTAATTGTCCGCTATGACTATTGGAGAATTATTTAAACTTGAATATTCCTCAATAGTTTCGTTTCCTGTTGCAAGTGGTACACATCAACAAGATACACAATCCTCATTATCCTCCGCCTCGCAATACCTACCTTGATCTCATTTGTATGATTAGAAAAGTAATTAAGAATGCAATCTTCGTCTGTGGATTCTATTCCTACTCACGTCTATACACAACTTAGTTCTTTCTTTATACACGGTAAGGCATCTAGAAATGGTAACTCAACGTCCTTTTATGATTCCATTTTAAAATGAGCTATTTCATACAATCTACTCATTATCACCTAAAATTAATCTAATTTGTCTTTACCGTGTTGCCAAACAGCAAAGTAGTCGACTTTACATCTAAATACTAGGTTGGTAATTTAGGAATGCTTCATGAATTATACGTTCATTTACTTGAGCCCTGTAGCTATTAGCCATAATTGTAACTAATCACGATCTTATAGATAAACTCGTGTTTGCTCAGACAATTTAACATTTAAGATTAAATATGTTCTCCTCACAGCTGTACTAATCAATAAATTGATTTAAACTTGCGACATTTTTACCATTTAAACTTTCTGGGTTCTAGACTAAATTTTTCTCCAAACCTTGTTTAGCCCGTTTTATCGGAATATTAGTTTATTATTTACATTACATCGAAACTAAATTTCAGATCGCTACTTTCTATAGATTTTTTATTTACTTCTTTTTGTACAACTTCCGCGCCTTAGAGATTTGCTTTAACTATGTAAAAATTACCATTATCTTACGTTAGACATCTTCCTTATGAATCTTGGGTAGACTATGGGTGTTTAGCGGTTTGGCATCTCTCTGAAGGATTGTGTTTATTTTCCACTTCTATACTTCGTCGTTATTTACACATTGTTGCAGATAACCTTTTAGTCTATCCTTCAGACTTTTTCTGTTGTCCTTAATTATAACCCTGTATACCTCACTATCATCTGAGGCCTGCGACATTTTATTCACATACTTTGCCCTATCCATATCTACCACTGCTACACCTTTATCTGTCCTCGTAACTATCTGCTTATTTTTATTTCTCATTATGATTTTAACAATTTTACTCTTGTAAAGTATTACTACCAATTAGAGGAACGATATTTAATTCAATTTTATTCTTAATCTACTCTGGAAACATCTTTAGGCCTGTAAGTAATACAAATATTTCTTACCCTAGGTTATTACATACCTGTGGAGTGAATTTTAAGCCCTCAGTGGAAATATCTAAAGATGCTCATGACAGATTTATCCCTTTCAGGATGATACATCTTGAGCTTGTTGCTTTTATTTTTATTATCCATGTATCTTTGTTTCTGCTTACGTTTTATATTCGTATTTAGTAATTCTCGAAACTTTCAGTAAATCTTGAATATGAGCTATATCCACCTTAGGTCTCATAGCTGAATTTTCCCACAATAATGCAAATGAGCAACAATTCTTTCACTGAATTTCACCTAGTTTTGCTTCCAAAAAAACTATTTTATTCCATGCTGGACTGCAGCTTCGACCCAGAGGTACTCGCTGCTATGTTGTTTAGTGGTTAATGTGCCAAGACTAAAGACCGCGCTACCCAGATTCAAATCTTGCTGAAGGTGCCGATGAAACCTAGGCGAAGTCTAAACTGCAATCCATTCCGAATGAAAATATCTTTTGAGATGCGAGGCTTGCTCATATCATTGTGAGGAAATTTAATTCTCAATCCTTTATCATCCTATTCGGCCTGGGGTGATTTAATTTCCTATTTTCTCATTTCGCCTTTGCTTGACGGAGACAACTAATTAAACTTGCCTTTTTTATATCGGTAGGGATTTCGTGGTAACAGATTATGAGAGAGTTTTTTTTAACCTTCAGAAATCCTTTGTCTTGCCGTAAAATGAAAGCGCCACATGAATTTTTGTCCAACATTTTTTGAAAATATTCTTATTTTACTTAGATTTGTCTCCTTTTGTTTCAGACCGCTCTCACTGTTGTAGATCGAAATAGTAACATTGGGCGGAGTGTCGTCGGAAAACTAGACAAATCTTCCAATTCCTCTTCCACTTCCACTTCCTCTTCATCATCATCATCTGCTTCGGATACCAGCAGTGTGTCTAGTGAGGCAAGTACCGGGACTACCACTTCTACTTCGAATTTGACAAATAACACCGACAGCCCCAACAACCTCAGCAGCTTTAATCGTGGTCGCCGGTCAGTTTAATTTATCTGCTTGAAATCTGTTTTAATGAATTTTTACCTTGCCCGTCTCTTATCTCAGTGCCACTGTTGCTCTTTCCGCTCATTCTATTATTCCTCTGCCGAGCATAGATATTAACTTGAAACGACATTACAATTACCTTAGAAATAATAGAATTTTCCTTGCGGATGTTGTGAAGGGACTGTGCCATGCTTATCAAGTTGCTCATAGGGAATATTTTTTCCTTAGTTCTTATATAAAGCCAGCTCGTAACGATCTGCTCGTTGCATATCCTCTTACATCATTGAATGGTCTTATTTTTGATTTCGTATAGTTTACATATATTCCAATTGATTGTAATAAAAAGTAAGTTGCCTCATTTATTTCTATTTTCTCCACACTCTTTTTGCCTTGTACTTACAGACTTGATATATTTTTTCACAATCACCACACCTCTAAAACGAGTTTATTCTGCTATATTCATTACTTTTATCTCCCTAAAACGAAGCAAGCAAAATATTTCTCTTTTCGTCCCGGACATTTGCTGCCTCTGCCATATTATCGAGAATTATAAGACGAGCGACTGTAGACAATTTGGTATAAAAATGTACCGAGAGAAGATGCTAGACAATTGTTCTTTTTCCTGCATCTTGTCCTTTTATCATAGCTTCTTAGATACCAACCTCTCAACCAATAGACTGGCTATGGCTGTGTGACAAAATTAATGCATAAATCGACTATCCAGCATGCACATTTAGTAGAATACCTTTCCCCTCTATCTTGGCAAGCTTGCATTTCCATTCCTTCAGATAGCCCATTTGGCCTATTGCTACTTACGCCATCGGTCGTAAATATACTTATATATTTTTATTTATTTATTTAAATCTCTTGTTTTTTAATCTTTATTTGTCTACCTTTATCTCTCCAGGCTTATATCCACTTAAGTAGCTATTAATGCACACATATGTATCTACCTCATTTCTTCTTTTTAGACTTTTCGGGAGAGCTGCATCAATATTTATTTTTTATTTCCTTATATATACATTTATTTATGCTCGTATATATCCTTACAATCTATTTATTTATTTATCTACATACCCACACTTGTGTTAATCTTTATAGCAAGAATGTTTGTCTTGGTATCTTTGCTGGCCAGTCAGATTTGTCACTGTACTTATGGGACACTTTTATGACAGATATTTAGCTAGGATTGCTAAAGCGACTCTGAGTGATGCCTATTTTTAATGGTTATTCCAAGCAACTTACTGATTTTACTGTCTACTTAACAAAGTAAGGATATATTATTTTTTTGACATCATAGACTAATATCTCCTAATTGTTGAACTTACTTCCATTTCGAGTGAAAGTGTTTGGTGAAGAGATTTCTAACATGAAAGCATTCCCAAACGTTTCGCCGACATCATAATTTACATCGTCATGGAGAGATGCCATCATCAGCACAG